TGCTTCAACCTCAGCAAGCTTCTTTTTAAGTTCGGGAATCTCAGAATTCTTGGCCTCGAGTTCAGCTTTAAGCTCAGTTTTCTCAGCCTCAAGCTCAGTAATGCGTTGCCTCAATGAATCTATTTCGGATTCCATACCTGTGTTATAATATAATATTGTTATGTATTATATGCTTATATTCAAATAATTAAAAATATATATCAACCTGTTAACATTGTTAATGGGTTTTGCCAAGAATAATTTTTTATTAATACATGCTAAAAATAAATACAAAGCTCGGGACTGCGCCCGTGATACAGTACATGACATCTATGCTAGTATACATGCGAACGCCTAACGGCCGATTATTTTTTCGAACGATACCCCTCTATCTTAGCCCTATCTTTCCTAAATTCTAATTCTTTTTTCCGGCAAGATCGCCTGATCTTACCCTTTTTATTTCCCTCGATTCCTCCCCACTTTGCGAAACATCCACCGGCTTCTGCGCCTTATCTAATAACCAAACAATATGAGCGAGGACTTTTTCTACCTTAATCTGCAAATTCTCATCATCATATTCAACGATCACAGGTTTCGATAGCTTAAAAGATGGTTTTTTCTCATCATCAAAGGCGCACTCCATAAAGTACCATTTTTCCGCATCAGTCACTATTCCCCATACTATATCCATTTCTTTTTCATCATCATCAATTTCACTAGCTTTACGTTTACGAGATGTTAAGGATGATTCCATCTGCACGGTAGCTTGTGCGATGCCCTGTTTAAAGTCATCTCTTTTGACCTCGACCAAGCCAGCTATCCTTCCTGTTGAACGACATTCTATTGCCAAATCTGCCCGTTATGCCCCTTGACAAGTTTCTCCGGTACGATTTTGAAATTATTCTCGAACAATGATACACCGCTGGCTAAGTAACAGTACGAATAAATAGATTTCGTCGCCTCATATGCTAATACCAATGGGCAGTGTTGTCACTTGATTTGTCCAGTCCACTGGACTGTCTGTTCCAGTCCAGGTCCAGTCCATTGGAACATTTAACTGGATGTCCAGTACTCTTATAGTCCAGTGTCGAACTATCAGATGATCTGATTATACATATAGTTTAAATATAGTTTAACCAATTATAATTGTGCACATTTGTCAATAAAAACAAACTTTCTACAAATCAAACCTTTTCTCTCTTAAAAAATTTTTTTTCTCATGTCACGCTGTCATAGATTTGTTTAGCATGTGTTGAATTTAATGACTGTGTTTATGCACTTGAACACCAATTTATAAATACAAAAAAGTGTTGCAAAACTCATTTCAAAAAATACGAAAGAAAAACATGGGGAAGATGCACTACCTATTATATATGATAGCGAAACTACATTGCAAGATCAAAGCAATCAAAACGAAAAAGGAACATTATAGTAAGTTACAATTTTATAATACACATAAAATATCATAATTCAATTATTGATGATGCTAGTGACGAAAATCAGTACTACAGCAAATTGATTCCCATCAGATGACTTTACATTTCACCGCTTTACTGGAAATAACCTTGAAAATTTTTATAATCTTTCATTGAAAGCTACTAATGGAATTTCCGCTGGGTTGATAATCCTGATTCAATTAGCTCTTTTTAAATTTGTTAATCCTTCTTGCAAACTTCCAAAACGGAGAAAATTATCTGGAAAAATTCTTACTCAATTTTCAGATCAAGTTGTAAAGAATATTAAAGAAAGAACACAAAAAGATTTAAATGGTGTAGCATTATTTATTTATAGAAGGTCTCCTATTATATTAATAATTTGTAAATATTAATATTAAATAATTTAAAAATTATCCTTTGTAAAGAATTAGCATGATAAAGGAAAAAATTCACGTTAATAATAAAAAATAAAGAAAAAAATTCGTGTTAATGAAAAATAAAAATTCACTGATAATAAAAAATAATGGAAAATTCACGCTAAAAAAATATTAATTTTTTTTTTATTTTTTTTTAGTTAAATTTCTTTACATTATTAGACTAATAAACTTTAATCAGTCCAATCCGGTCCAGTCCAGTATATTCCAGTCCAGACTGGTCCAGTCCAGTTCCAGTCCAGCAAACCCTGGATTAGTCCAGTGACAACACTGCCAATGGGGTAGTCTTTTTACGAAGGTCCAATTCAGCTATTAGATGCTTGACCACGGCTTTAGACTTTTCATCATTTAGGTTAGCTGAGCCACATTGAAAAACAGGGTACACATCAATGTCGGGATTCGGGTCTTCGCTAAGCTCATAGAGCTCGCATACTTTCGGGAAAGTCCAGGAATTGAAAGGTTTTGATGGCGTCTCGATGTATACAGTAAATTTAGGCTTGTTTTTTGATACTAATGACCGCAACATTTCTCGGAATGGAGCATCGCTCCTAGGATAATATCTATCCTCATCATTCATGAAGTTGAACACCGCCCCATCATTTTCAAGCGCTGGTGGAGTGTACATTTCACGAATATATTTCTTGAAGTCTTCGAGAGTTGCAGTTTCGATATTCGCTGTCCACTTATTTGGCTTCCGTTTCGGGTGAAGGACAACATCGAACTCTATAAAGAAATGCCATAGTTAGTAAAACCTTTTCGGTCAATAATGTCTAATCTACGTACCATAGATGGACTTATTAAGCGACTCTTCCAACAGGGCGATTCGGTCAAGTAATTCCTGTTCACGGCTCGAAGCGGTGGTGGCCTCTGGCGGAGAGACTAAGACATGGATATGTTCTTCGGGAGGTGAGTCTGGAAAATATTTCGAAATCTTCCTTATTGCCAACAGCTCGTCACTGTCCTGGAGTATTAGATTTCTTAATTGATCGTCGTGATCGCCAGGGATCGTCACCTTCCATACTTTCAAGTCTTTCGCCTTGAAATTAGCTGGAACATCTATTTTTTCTTTTATAGCCTCCTTGAGGTGGCCAACAAGCTGGTCCTTTTCTATATCAACAGGAAAAGCGTTCGCGGTTGTATTTCCTTTGACGAGACATAGTAAAGTGATAGACATGTTTTCAGCTTATATAGTATTTTTTGCGAAATTTTATTGGTGCAAACTAGCGTAAGTGAGGACAAGAATAAAAAAGAATTTTATTTGCGAAAAATACCAAAGCCTAGTATATGTGAGAAAATCCCCTGTCTCACGGATCTGCCGTGTAATCAGTATATTACATCATTGTGCAGATTATTTCTGGGAAATGATTTCGGACTTGAAAAATTGAATCGGAAATTAGTATTGAATAACTTTAACAATGACTCGTAATCGTCCATCTCATAACAATCAACGTAAAACCAGAGGCCTGTTCACGACCAATCCAAAGCAATATTTGCAACTGCAAAATTTCGAAAAATATGATCATACGTACGATGCAAAGTTAAATTATATGATCGTCATTAACCGAAAGAGTAATGACCCGAAAGGTATATTCGACTTTGATGAGCTTACTAGCTTCTTAGGGGCAAATCAGTGCTATGATTGTATTAACAGAGTAAAATTAATTCGGAACACTTTCTTGTATAGTCAGATAAATAATGATTTGTAATACTTTATTTATGAAATAAAAACGTTGCCGGTAACCGGCTTACAATACATAAAACTGCGAATATTTCGCTTCACATGATACGAATAAAAAATACTATTTTTTAACGAGAACATCTCCTAAATTTACTCTTGCTCTTCGATCATCTGTTACCAAAGATAATGATAGTAAGAACAACGCTCAATAAATTTCAGCTATAATGGATATGCAAAAGCGCCTTTCGGCTAAATTACTCACACAGCTTCTTAATGTAGTCCTCAAGCTCCAATGCTGGCCTCAATCCCATTCCGAATTCTCTAAATTCCTGTCTGGTTAACTTGAGAAATAAATGACCGGTAATATTTTCCCCCTCAAGTCTCGTAAAAAAGCCATCACCAAGTTCTATATGACTTAATTCAGAATCTTCCCGCAAAAAATTGATAAGTCTTTCTGTTTCGTATTCTTCTAACCTGTCAGCTAGAGTGGAGCTGGAAGACATCTTGCTTTGTTTGCTAAAGCAAACCCCATAGTGAGAAAAAAACTCGCTCCCATACACACATAATCTATGGCATATACATACCTTATTTTGCGTTATTTTTATGGGAATGTTTTTTGCGGAAAGTTGGCTGAACTTCCACATACCCCTACATGCTTTATATCTTGCTGTTGGGAAGGAAAAAGATAAGGAGATAAAAAAATAGTGATTAGCATTGTCGTCTGATGCCAAGAGTTCTATGAAAGCACATGTAAGTGGAATTTTCATACCTTTTCACATGTAGATCTACCGGAGAGACGCAAAGGTAGTTAGTTCTTGTAGATCTCGAAATTACAAAGT